TTTAACTGACGAGACCCCGAATTTCTCCATCCGTGGTCCCCAGCCGTGGGCCACCTCTCTTCTCTGGGAACTGCTTATGTCTTGTGCTCTCTTCTTGCCATTGGTTCTGACTCAATACACAAAGAGGCCAGGATAACTGAGGAGGGGCTCTGCATAAGCCGACGTAGGCAGAAAACAAAATAAAAGCCAGTGAGTGGGTCCTTCCAGCTCGCTGCCTGTGGTGAGCTTCACGGAGAAAGACGCTGGAGGGCTGAGCTGCTAACGCTGAGTGGCCGCCCACTGCCACTAGGTACCCGGGGCCTCGGGGGAGGAGTTACCCTCTTCAGGTCTCTGGTGCCTCGTCTGTAAAATGGGAGAGGCGCCTAGCGCATAAATCACAGCAAGCCTGAGTGGAGGTAGTACCCGAGAAGGGTTGGCCCTCAAGTGCGGGGCGTGGTTGTTTAGGAAATCATCAGAGCTGAGCAAGGCCGGCGCTCCAGGAGGCTGAGACAGGAGGAGTGCAAGGCTGAGCCCAACCTGGGCAACTTAGCAACTTAGTGAGAGTCCTTCTCAAAATAAAAACAAAACAGAGCTGGAGATGCAGCTTAGAGTGAAGGCTGTGGGGTTCAGTCTCTAGTACCACCACCGCCGGGAGAAAGAGAGCCAAAGAGAGAGACAGAGAGAGAGACAGAGGCAGAGATAGAGAGACAGAGAGAGAGACAGACAGAGAGAGACAGAGACAGAGAAAGACAGAGAGAGAGAGAGAGAGAGAGAGACAGAGAGACAGAGAGACAGAGAGACAGAGAGAGACAGAGACAGAGAGACAGAGAGAGACAGAGAGACAGAGAGACAGAGAGAGACAGAGACAGAGAGACAGAGAGAGACAGAGAGAGACAGAGAGACAGAGAGAGAGACAGAGACAGAGAGACAGAGAGAGACAGAGATAGAAAGAGATAGAGACAAAGAGAGACAGACGCAGAGAGACAGAGAGAGCCCATGTGGTTGACAGCCCAGGTGACAGATCAGTAGCACTGGGAGCTTTGAGGGCTGCTTCTCAGAGGCTTTGATGTCGGTGGGTGCTCCCTGGATGTGGGAATTTAAGTTCCCCCCAGGAAATCCTAGGGTTTGGTTGGGGTGAGAGGCAACGCTGCACTGAGAGGCAGGGTTGCTGAGGAACAGAAAGTGCAAACCCTAACTGATTGCTTGCTATTTTTTGCCTTGCCTCGTGGGGACTGGAGCCAAGGTTTTACATACACTGGACAAGCTCTCTAGCACTAATCTACAGGTTTTGCGTCCTGGTTCTTGTGACTCACTGTTGGCTAAGACATCAAAATTCTGAGTGTCTCAGTTTCCTCCTCTGTAAAATGGGTATGGTAACAATAATAACCCGCCTCAGACTGTTGCAAAGATACACTAAATCAATACCCATGATGGACTTAGAATATTTCCTGACACATTATAGGACCTTTACTGATCTATGTATGTTTAGCTCAATTTCTATGGTGGGTTAGTGTATACAACAGAAAGTTTGTCGTTTTAGCTGTTACTAATGCATAACTCAGCGGCATCTGGAACAGCAGTGGTGTGATGATCACAACTTCAGGTTTTAAACTTTCTCATCGTCCCATGTAGAAACCATACTCGTTAAACAAAGCCTGAATTCCTCCTCCAGCCTCCACGGTGCGTTCTCTTCTCTGAGAGAGCGCCTGTGCTGTGGCCTCAGGTATGCGGAGTCACAGAATAGTCACCCTTTCTTACCCGACTCACGTCACTTAACACAAAGTTTTCGTCTCCTCCGTGTTGGCGTATGCAGCTGAGTTGCATGCTTTTGTGTAGGTGGATGAAACCCTACCTCGTGTCTGTTCGAGTCCCATTACCAACACTCTGGGCATCTGCTTGGAACAGCCGGGTGGCATCAGTTTAACCTTTTCCTGTTTTGCACAAGGGAGGTCCCATCTGACACCTGCGCCAGCCGAGACCCACGTCTATCATCTCCTATTTTCTACTTTTTCTTTCTTTGTTTCTTCTTTAAAAAAAATAAATAAATAAAATAACAGCCGCCCTCGCGCTCTGCAGTGGCGTCTCGTTGTGGCTTGGTCATCAGTCCTTTTGATCCCATCCGAGTCCATCCCCCGCTGCCCACTGTCCCTTTGCGTCCCTGCAGTCTGCCGATACCCAGCAGCTGGCCGCCTCTGGCCAGGGCTGCGGGTCAAATTCAGCTCCCACTTGTTTCCGCTGCAGGCTGTAAGCTAAAAATGGTTGTTAGGTTTTTAACTTGTTAGAAATCCAAAGGAGAAGAATATTTCAAGAAATGCAACTTTCGTACAGAATTTGAATTTCACTGCCTGTCATCGTCTTGGGCACGAAGCCATGCTGGAGCATTTATGGCCCTCCAGTGGCTGCTTCTGGACCAGAAAGGCCGTGGAGAATGGTGGGGTCAAGGGCCGTAGGGCCTGTAAATCTGAGAATATTCACAATGAAGCCATTTACAGGAGGCTCTGCTGAACCCTGCACTAGACCCTGAACTCAGGCGAAATAATCTTGCCGTCCCTGCCGTACCCGGCCATGGTAGCTGGTCTGTTCTGCCGTATCCCGCCACAGACATTTGAGCTGGGACTGTACCTGCATATGAAAGCTGGACCAGATTTTTCTCTTTTGCTTCTTTTTTTTTTTCCTTTTTTGTTTTCTGTTTTGGTGGTGCTGGGGATTGAACATAGGGCCTTGTGAATGCAAGCTGAGATCTCTATTGCTAAACCACATCCCCAACCCTAGAACCAGAATATTCTAGAAGAAAATATGGAAGACTATCTTGGCAAACTCAGTTTAGGTAAGGGTATCTTAGGGCACAGAAAGCACCGTCTCATAAATGGGGCATGATGACGTGTACCTGAAATATCAGCACGAGGGAGGCTGAGGCAGGAGGGTCACGGTGAGTTTGAGTCCAGGCTGAGCTACATAGTGAGCTCAGGTTCAAGGCCAACTGAACCGCGTAGTAGGATCTTGTTTCAAAAGACAAAATGTCAACATTAAAGCTTTAAATTTCTGCTCATCTCAAGGTATAATTAAGATAATAAGTAGACAAGCCACCATTAGAAGAAAATCTTTCCAATAGCTGCATGTTGACCAATCATTTGTCTACAAAATATATAAAGAGCTACAAATAATAAAAACACAAACATAAATTTTTAAGTGGACAGAATGACTCAAGGTACAGTTTAAAACTATGGAGATATAATTCTAGACTCATTAGAATAGCAAAAAAAAAAAAAAAAAAAAGAAAGAAATGTTTTCTTTTTCTAAGATGCAAATGTTGGTGAGGATGAAGAGGAGCCAGAGAGTTTGCCCCTTGCTGGTGGGACCACTGTTTGGCAGTTTCTTACAAATTCTGCTCCTAGGTCTTACCCGGCAGAAATAAAGTCTGTGTTCCTACAAAGAGTTACACATAACTGTGCCCAGCGCTTTCTTCTGAGTAGCCCTAAACTGGAAACAGCCCAAAGGGCATTAGCAGCAAAGCAGATTTTTAAAAAATGAGATCCACCCACCCAGCGGGCTGCTCCTCAGCAAGGAGCGGAGATGGACCCTTGGTGTACGGGTGTCCTGCAGCACCGTGCAGCTGGAGAGAAGACAGACACACACAAGGCTGCCGAATTCTATTTATAGGGCACAGAAGAAAAGATGAACCTAACTGATGGCAAGGCAGACAGGTCAGTGGTTGCCTCTGGGGGAGGAGAGGCAGGGAACTTGTGTTTAGTGGACCTGGATGCGATGGGTGTATGTGATTGTTAAAACTGACACCTAAGTTCTGCGGTGCCTTTTACTGAGCACAAACTGTGCTTCCATCTGAAAGGAGGGAGCAGGGATGCCCTCCCAGGGTGACAAAATGTCCCTTTGTCATGGACCCTGTGGGCCTCAGCTCCCTGTGCTGCCTCTGGTGAACAGGCATGGCAGTCACACTTGCAAAGGGAAAGGGTCAACTGCCGCGCTGGTGCCCTGATGTCTGTCGGTTGTGAATGGCCAGCAATTTGCATTTCCTGTTGGAACCAGAGCTCTGCTGAGAAGGAAAAAACAGCAATCACTCCCTGAGCCCCTGGACCGCGAATCTGGAGGGTCATTTCCTGGCGCTGCACCGTGACGGCACCGGCTTCGGCTTGGAATGTCCTCTACCTGCACTCCCGGAAGCTGCGTGCTGGGGTGTGCTTGTGTGCAGCCGCTCAGGCTAGCTGCTGACCAGGCAGAGGCCTTCCTCCCAGCTTCCAGCTGGCTTCCTGAGACGTCTGAGTGGGCAGCAGGCTCTGCACGGCGGGCAAAGGCGAGAGGCAGAAGCAGCGAAGTGTCTGGCTTTACTTCAGAAGGTGCTTCTCGGGGCTGGGGATTTAGCTCAGCGGCATAAGCACCTGCCTTGCAAGCAGGCGGTCGTGAGTTCGATCCCTGGTACCGATAAAAATGAAAAAGAAGGTGCTTCTCCAGGACGCGGGGCTCAGCCCTTGACTCCCTTCTGTGGCTGCTGTAACAAACGGGCTTGCGGTCTGTGTGGCTGAAAACAACACAAGTGTACCAGCTTATGGAGTGGGATGAGAGGACTGGCCGCCCACCTTCCTGCTGAGCACACCACAGGACAGGATCGCTCCTACCTCCTCCACAGGCAGAGGCTACTGCTTTCCTCCGTTCAGGGCTCTGTCCTCGACCTCAAAGCCCACGCCACGGGTGACTCCACGCCTTTCTTCCTCCCTCCTCCCTTCCTTCCTTTCTTCTATCTTTCTGTCCTTCCTTGACATCTTTTAAAGTGGGTGCAGAGTGGCATAAGGGTTAATTTCTACACCCTAAGTCTAGGTCACATGGATTCAGCTTCTGCTATCATCACATTAGTTTTTCTGTGTGGACTGCATCACTTCTGTAAGCCCCAAGTTCCTCTTCTTTTGTGAAATCAGCCTGAACCTCTATCTACCTTTCGAAGGTGCTGGGGGACCGGGCTAGAGGCACACGCAGCACTGGGTAAGCCATCACTGATAAACCTCTCTCATGCGCCCATTACTGCAGCATGGGGAGGGAGGGAACGAGGCATGTGTCACCTTGGATCACGGGAACTTTCTCTTTCTCCCTCCGCCTTGTAGATAAGACAGATACAAACACATACCACATGGCATGCACACACATGTGTGCACACGCACAATCAGTTAATGACACGAGGTGGGAAATATTCAGAGGTCAAAAACTAGCACCAAGATGGTTTATTGCATGGTGCCAACTTGTGGTTAAGTTGGTCCACACAAAAACACAGAGAGAGAAAGCAGGCACTGGAACAGAAGCTGCGTGACTCTCGAGGGCTGGCTTTGCTCACGGTCCCTGAGGTCACTTGCCCATCTTGTCAGGCTACTTTCAACACCAGATGTGGTTTACCGCATGAGGATTCTGTACTACTAGATTCTTGATGCCTAACCTTTCTCTGTTCTCATCACGAAAATGTGTGGCTCATCACAATAACCCCCTTTACTGAGCAATAATTGAGCCGAGCGCTGGACACCCATTGGCTCACCCAGCCTCACGGGAGTCCCACGCCGGGGACTGTTACTGTTACATGTCTGAGCCATTGCGGGCACAGAGAGGGGAAGTGGTTTTGCTCTGTCACACAGCTCCCGACTCGTAGGGCTGTCAACTGCACACATCTTCTTGACACCCTGCAGACCTGCCTGTTTGGGCTGGCCCCTCCTGGGAACCGAGAGCAACCACAATAGCTCCATTCGTGAGAAGAGGGCCTTGGGATGGGATGGCAGGATGTTTGGGGGTGGCTCGGCTTGGCCGGAGACTCTTGGGAGCATTTGCCTTCCGCACGGACAGCCGGTCGTGGTCCTGTCATTCTGTTTTACAAATGAGACTGGTGAGATACCGAACCTTTTAATTCACCCACAGCTACTAAATGGCGAGCCTTAATTGGGAGCCCAAGGTGCGTCTCCAGAACTCCTGTCCCAGCACCTAACAGGCAGATTAGCACCACTGCTGTGGCACCCGTGGGTGACAGTTTCAGCTCTGCAACTGAACGTTTATCAGTCTGCTCCAGGCTCTTATCTGGCGTCTGCTTGGCCACGCCTCGCTTTATTTCCTGTGTGAGATGGAATTCTCATGACCTCGGCCTTCTAAGAAATGAACCTCATACCGGGAAGGTGCTCACCTCTCCGTTATTCATCTCCCGAGTGTTCCCTTCATGCTGGCTGCTGCCATGGGTCACAGAGCAGGAGACCTGCCAGGGGGAGCGGTGCATGCTTTGAGCCCAGTGTTCTGGGAGACCAAAAGTTTGAGTCTACCCTGGAAAGCTTAACAAGACCCTGTCTCAAAATAAAAAGGCTGGGGATGTAGCTCAGTGTAAAGGCCCTGGGTTCAGTCTCCAGTGCCATTGCCAAAACCAAAGCAAACCAAAACAAATCCCTCTCGCACTTGTTTCCCTGTGTAAAATAAGCCTGCTGTGCGTGTTCATAACTCCTCTCCCCTAACTATAGAAGAGTTTCCTGCATGAATGTTTACTCAACTTCCGGATCTGTGACTCACTGTCACCTGCTGTGTCAGGGACTATCCTTATGATTTTTATTTTCCTTTCCTCCAACTTTTATGAGGATATTACCATATCCTCATAATTCTATTTCCCAAACCTTAGGGGCCAGATGCATTTTGTGAGCTATTTTCTCCCCCAGGTTTTAGATGTGTTTTATTTATAGTAAACAGCAGCTAACACTTTACAACTCCTTCCAGAACTATGTGGGCATTCATACCACCTGCTGGCGAGACCTTTAAGTAATAAACTTACAGGGACCTAGCTCTGGAGTCTAGTTTTATCCCCCCCCCCAAATGATCTTTGTGGATTTTAGAACTCAGGGTAAGGAATCATGAATAGCAATTGTATCTGCTTAGGGTTTAACACTTGGAAAAGTACTGCAAAGCATTAAAACGAAAATATTTATGTACAGGAGTTACCAGAATTCCCATCCATCTAGGCAGCATTATCCAACAATGTCATTGAGTGTCTGTTTTATATCTGGGTCAGTGGTTTTCAACAGGGGTACATTTTGTTCCTCAAGGAACATCTGGCAATATCTGGAGATATTTTGCTTCTCACAGCTGGAGCCAAGTGCGAAGCATCTCATGAGTGAGTGAGCTGACTGTGGAGGGCAGGACAAGGAGATATTCACCCTGAATGTCAGTAACGCCATGATTAGGCACCGTGGTCTAGGTTCTCTGCATGCACCCATGAGCAGAGCAGTAAAGAAGTAGCTGATTCCTGTGCATTTGTAAAATATGGGTTATATAGAGACACAGGCTAATATAAGTATTTTACCTGTCTGACATCTTTCAGTATATTGCTTTGACTTAATATGGCTGCATACAAATTTTACATTATCAAAAACTCTTCAAATGCATAATTTTTATGCCTATAGCATCTTCTTTCTGAAAGATTACTTTTAGCCATTCTTTTAAAGGAAAACCATCGTTTACCCCTTTATTTAAAATAACACCAAGATGGGCATCCTTAAAGTCTCATTATTTTATGTTGCTTATCTTTGTGGTCTTGGGTTTAATCCCCCTCAAAGGTGTTAGTTAAGAACTCTTAAGACGGAACTATACCCCCAACCCTTTTTATTTTTATTTTTGATAGGGTCTTGCTGCATTGCCCAGATTGCTCTCAAACTTCTCATAGTCTTTGGCTGTTGCTGTTTTTTGAGACAGAGTCTTGCTATGCAGTTCAGGCTGGAGCTCACTGTAATCCTCCTGCCTCAGCCTCCTCAGTGCTGGGATTACACCACATTGGCAACTTTGTGATCTCTTTCCTCAGGCTCCTTAAATACCTGGCATTCCCACTGTTGATGGCATCTGATTGACTTCACTGGCCTCTAAGGCTTGGGATTTATTTTAGAAGTAGAGTTTTAGAAATTATTATTAAAAATTTTTTTTTGGTAGCCCTGGGGTTGGAACCTGGAGCTTCTCACGTTAAGCCCATGTTTTATCACTGAGCTACACATCCCAGCCTGGGGAAAAAAAGTTACCTGAGCTCAAGTGTACAAACTCTAGGAAATCCTCAGCACACACACGGCAGGCTTGCTGGCCCCCTAAGTGTCTTCGGAGCAGGAGCTTACATTTAAAAATCAGAGTCTTCCTGTGTGTAATCACCATCATGGCTGGATCCGGCTGTGAACAGCACCCCTTAAAATCCCGGCCCTCACAAGCAGGTGAGTTGCCTGGCTGTGTAACCCTGTGTGGACAGGTGTGTTTCCTTTCAAATCAGTGCCAGTCATTGCATTGTTTGTGCCATCTGCAGACGCACTGGGAACGGTTCAAAGGCTGGAGAGCCAAACACACCAAGGAGGATTAACTCACAGAAAAGATGAAAAGGGCCCAGTGGGCACAGTGCGTGAGGGCGGAGGAGGAACCGTGCCTGAATTGGCAGATTCCAGCGCAGGGGAAGCTTCTTTGGGCGATTCTGTGTGGGAACCATCCAAGGAGGAAATGAACGAATTTCTACTGCAGCGTGAGCAGGTGACACAGCACAGGACTAGACTAACAAGCCTGCGGGACAACGTGAACCTGTGTTCTAGCAAGTGTGCAAGAGAACACGTTCAAAGTAAGACTTCCGTGCTGCCGCCTGTCTGTAACCCTAGCTACTCAGGAGGCCGAGGCAGGAGGATCACAAGTTTGAGGCCAGCTTGGGTAACTTAATGAGACCTTGCCTCAAAATATGAAATAAAAAGGGCTGGAGATATAGCTCAGGGTGGAGAGCTTGCCTGGTGTGCAGGAGGCCCTGGTTCGATCCCCAGTACTGGAGGAAAAAAAAAAGTACAACTCACACCTTCGGAGAGTGAGCAAGTAATCAGTGGTTACCGCAGACCACAGCAGAGTAGAGAAACAGTGTAGAAGAAAATTCACATTTTCTCTTTGTCTGGAGGCCAAAACAAGCAAAGCTCACCACACCGAGCAGCGGCTGCCTACTGATACAGCTCTCAAGGGGCAGGTAGCAAAGTCATTTTTTTTCTAAGTGTGCTTGGCTTTGTGGGCCTCTCTATTCTGTCTCTGTGGATGCTCCAGACTGAAGTGTGGAGGATCGGGGGGTGTAGCTCAGCGGCATAAGTGCCTGCCTGGCAAGTGCGAGGTCGTGAGTTCGATCCCTGGTACCAAAAAAACCAACCAAACAAAAACCAAAAACCCAAAAAGAAAAGGTGTAGCTGTTTGTCAAATGGACTTCATTTACAAAAACAGGAGGTCACAGGGGCATGGTGTGCTGAGTCCGCATCTCACGAAGTAGGAAAGAGGGCCATGCGTGGGTGGCTGGGGAAGAACCAGACGCCAACCCTTTCCTGTGAGTCGGCGCCACTCATGGACTGCAGGGGAGGAGAGCAAGAAGCCAAGCCCTCCCTGCGAGCTGGCACCATGCAATGGCCGCCGGGGGAGCACCAGACCCTGGGATGGGAGACAAGAAGAGCCAAGGTCGCTCCCCCAGCCCCATTAGTGACCGGCTGACACAGAGGAACACAGGCTGTGATGATAGCTTAATGCTGTGGTGTTTAGGGTTTCACTGACTGCAGGCTCAAGCCAGGAGTCTGATTACCTCTTCAGAGGATAGCAATGTGCAATGTAGCATCTGAAGGTGGTGGTCATTGTTAATCCCCTATTGTCTTATTTTGGAGTCCTGTATCATTTTCCTTGTTTTGTTTGATTGGGTTTTATTCTGCTTTATCTTGGTTGATTTTGTTGTCACCTGATGGCATGGGCAGCTTTGTCAAAGATAACAAGATGATGTTAGCCGTTTGGGATTTACTATTATCTTGTTTGAGGTCCTGTATTGCATTCATTGTTTTGTTTTTCTTGGTTCTATTCTGTTTCTGTTTTGTTTGATTTTATTATGTCTGAAGGTACGGGCAGCTATTTTGAGACAATAAGAGGCATTATGGCAACCGCTGTTGATTTCCTAGTACCTTGTTTAGTCCTGTGTCACACTGTTTTGTTTTGACTGGCTTTCTTCTGTTTTATTTTGCTTGGTTTTATTTAAAATAAAAATTCCAAGAACCCGCCAAACAAACAAACAAAACAAACCCAAAAACTAAAACAAAAGACCAAACCCGAAGTGGGGAAGAGCAGGTGTGGGAAGAGTGAGCTAAGCACAACGGTTCAGGAGCTCAAGCTGGGTGGCCCCCGGGAGCTAACCAAGCCCAGCGAGCACCAGTTTCCTTGACCAGAAAAGGGGGTTCACTGAAGTCCCACCTCAGGAGGGAGACAGGGTGTGCACGTCTTGTTGATGCTTTTCCCTCCCGCTGCCCCTTGTGATTGGATTTAACTCTTTTCTCTCCAAATATCCCCCCTCTTTCGGAGTCTGAGGTTCACGTCCAGGGCTGGGGACGCAGCTCGTGGCAGGGCACTTGCCTCATGCCCGTGGCCCTTGGTTGATCCTCAGTGCCATTTTACTTCACAACCCCCTTCTTACTGAATGTGTACCCCCATCCTGCACCCTGGCACCCAGAGTGGGGTGCCCTGCAGGATCTGATGCGGGGCTGGGGCAGGGACTTGGTGCAGAGGTTTAGCACAGCAGGAACCAGGGAAGCAGTAACCAGTGTAGGAGGGGTGATTTTCTCAGGCGGAATCTAGTGTCAACCTGGTGCCCTGGGGGACCTCAGGACGAACTGTGCCACTGTGAACAGGGCTGGCTTCTCAAAACCTCACGCAGGCTGGTGCTGGACTGTCCCCGACAGGGTGAGTGGTCCTTTCTTGGGGCATCTGGCTCCCGTTCTGCGGCCTGGGAGCAGCAAGGTGGTGCTGGCCCTCTGCACCTTAGCACCTGGGTAAGGGCAGGCGGCCTCCACCTGGTGCCCTGGGCCTGCTCTCAGCCATCTCGGAAGTGCAGCTGGTTTGTAGGAAAAGGGACAAAGGTGGAGCCGGGGTGACTAAGCCATCACCTGTCACTCTGAGATGAACCGTCTGGCTTAGGGGCTGGACCAAGGGCTGGGGAAGACTTTGAGTCAAGGGTAGTAATGTCTTCTGTTTGCAGAGGCAGGAAGTGACTGTCTTCCAGTGTCCCGTGGGCGTTTCCTGTACCCAGAGGCGTGTGGCATCCTTCAGGTCGGCATCACCGGGATCCCACCCTCTGCTTGGCACAGACACCTGTAGTGTCCCAATGACATCCACCTGGATCCTGACCTTTGGCAGCGGCCAGATTGAGTCCTAGTGACCTTGAGACAGTGACTTAGAATTATTATTCCAACTCAATTTTCTCATCTGTGAAATGGGGCTGGCACACTTTCCTAATCCACAAGGTCTTATAAGGATTTGAGCTGGGGCTCATGCAATATCCAACCCACTACTTGGCACTGGGTTAAGGTTCAAGTTCAATGCCTGGTGATTTTATTTACTTTCTCTGTGGCGGTTGTTTTGTTTGAGAAAGTGCGTTGTCTAGGCAGTGTTTCTCAATCAGCTGTCTTTTACGCGTGACTCTAGATTTGGCTGTACCTGCTGTGCTGCATATGATTACTTATTCAGTATACATTAACTGCCTCTTAAAAAATTTAGACACAGTACAATAGCCATGCAATAATGGTTTTGGGATAGGCTAGTGCTTGGCACGCTGTATCTTTGTACTATCGAGGTACATGAGAGGTACTATCATAGTGACCCAGAATGCTGCCCATGTACATTCTGTCCAGGGATTGGCCCATTCCAGTCCTTCCGTTTAGCCTGAAGTCTGTTGTGGTCTCTGCTGAATGAACTCACCGCTGAATAAACTGACACTGGCTTGCTTGGCTACAGATTTTATGTGTAATGTCAAAGGTACATTTTCTCTCTTTCTTTTCTTCTCTGTTAAATAACTTGGGCTATGACAGATTACGAGGAAGTGGTTACTCAGAGCTGAGTACTCAGAGCTGATTGCAGGGAGCGGTGGAAATTCCCCTCCTTGCCTAAAATAACTGGAGCTGGAAGCCAGCAGTACAGTACAGGCTTTGTCTAGGCTTGAAACAATATCCTTTCCAAGTGCGTTTTGTGCGGAAATACTTAGCAATATATGGTGGTAGTGCTCTCTAACAGGCTTGAAAAAGGTGAGTTATTCTGTGTTCCATGGCTAAAAGGGCCATTGTTAGTAACAGTGGGTCCCCAGGCGTGGAACCCAAGCTGCAGGCGTAGTAATATTGGGCTTACCTGACCCTCCTCCCCCTTATCTCTCTTCATTTCTTTGCTATCTCCAGGATCTAACTCAGGAAATAGACATATTCTTCATTGATCTGATTATTTAGGCCTGATTATGACAGGCCTGTTCGTGACAACCGGGACACTCCCAAGCAGGTTCGGAGGAAACAACAGGAGGAAATGCCCGGCCGGTCCTTTTCACCGAGCAGAGTTCAGAGGAACCGCTTCAGAAGAGCTCAGCGGGTCCAAATTCCCTGGCAGTGTTTAACCCTATGGCCCAGGCTGGGTTAGAGGCAGGTGTGTAGCCTTCAGCTGCCTTAGAACGGGAAGACCTGGGGACCCGGTTTGGATGAAAATTCTCTCCCAACTGATATTCTCACTATTGTAGACTTTACTAAAAAAAATAGAGTAAGATCTTGTGACATGCCTCATTCTTTTTTTAAAACCATTTTATGTATTATCTAAAGAAAATTTAAGGCTAGGAGGATAAGGATTGAGCCAAGAATAAAAGTAGGAAGCTATAGATAATCGTTCTTTTTTTCAAGTATCAAAACCTTTTGTTTATTCGGTCACACTAGCTCATGGGTGCTACTCAGCAAAATACCTGCGATAATGAAAAGAAAAGTTATTTTCGCTCACAGTTTTGGAGGGTTCAGTCCAGAATCAACTGGCCGGGTTGTTTTGGGGTTGTGGGGAAGCAGTCATCATGGCGGGAATGTCTGGTGGGCCAGGAAATAAGAGAGGGGAGAGACCCACAGTCCCCTCTGGGAGTAGAGTTCCATGACCTAAAGACCCCCTAGGTCATTAAGGGTCATCACCTCCTAGCAGACCCATCTTGGACATCAAGGCACATGGACTTCTGGACCACACTGAAGACCCAAACTGTAGGACCATATTACAATTTTTCTCAAGGCTTGAAATCCACTGCCTGCAGTTTATTAAGACACAGCCTTCAGGCCAGGGAAATGACCCCTTAGAGGAAGAAGAGGAAGAGGGAGGAGGAGGACGGAGGTCCTTTTCCGGCTGAGGTCTCTATTTAGGACACTCTTGACACAACAGCCTCCTCCCATGGGAAAGGGATCCAGGTGAGAAGCCAAGGGGCAGGGATTTGCTCCAGCCACCAGGTGACCACAGATGATTCTGGCCTTCAGTGGAGTGACGAGTGGGACCCGGAGCACATCAAGCCTTTACTTGAATTTTCTGTCTCAGTGCAGCAGAGGATTTGCAGCGTCAACCCCACTGCACGTACAGCTCTCTGGCTCTTCGGCCCACACTTGGCCAGGGCGGGTAGCACAGTAGCAGAGAGAGAGAAGGAGCTAACAATGCTCGAGATGCGGCTGGTGAGGCCTGCCAGTCCCCTCACTCCTGCCCGCCCCCGAGGGAGCCCGAGCTGGAAGGCAATGCCCGCACCTCCTGGAGGAAGGAGAGCATGAGCACTAGTTACAAATTCACGCT